TCAAAATGATAACCCCCTTCGTTTTAAAAAATAATGCCAAAAATACTATGCAGCAAAATCCTTTTGTATACGTACATATATACCATCCGATACTTGAAATTAATTCAATTCAGTATACTTATATCAATATATACGATAAGTGAAACTATTTAATTAATACTCCTCAAATTATTAGAAAACGTAAACTTATTCATTTAATCCTTATTGTAAAACCATATTGTTCAAATCTCCAAAACAAACACCCGATAATATAATATATAATCATCAAATCCCAAAAATCCTTTTTTCCCGTAACCATACCCTTTCTTAGGCGTATGCTTGCAAAACATAAAATTCCAAGTAATTTCCAAATATCCAATCACAAATCCAAACTTCATTTCAAATGTTTGTACATGTGCATAGTACTCTCAATGCACATTCTCAAGAAAACCTCAACCTGGAAATAAATTCACACATATATCTACAAAAATACCCATATATATATATATATATATATATCAGGGATTGTTTGACTAGAACGCATGGAAGAATCCTCAATAGCCATGTGGCTAGGTACGAGCCGTCTAACCAGGGGACTGGACTCCCAGACAAAGACAGTAGAATCCTCAATACTCGTGCAACTAAACTAAGTTCTACGCGTGCAGACTGCTCGGCAAAGGCGCTCGAGATCCAATGTATCCATTATCCATCAATTCCAGTATCAGTATCCAGGGGGTTTATATATAATAGTGTGTCAAAATCATAGTTATGAGAGCATTCACAGTTTGGGGGGTATTTTCGGGGGTGTAAAGCCACTTTTACATCCCTTTTCACCTCCGGAGGTTGTAAATGTGATTTTTGCTCCAATGAGAAATATGTAAATCTAAAGATGTATAATTGATTTTGCTCGCTTTTGTCCACCTTTTCTCATGTAGGACCCATTTGCAATGGATGTAAAAAAGGATGCACATGTGCATCTAAATTTGCATCTTACGGTTGTGATGCAAATTTACAATCATTTACACCTCCCCATTGCAAGTGATTCCGATCACAAATGGTGTATATTTAACATACACCTCATTATATTTAGATGTTGTTGTAGTTGCTTCAACTCTAGTTTCGGTGCGGCCTCAATGGATGACAAAACTTTGGTGGGTGCTGCCTCGAAAGCTTCAAAATAATTGCTCTTCTTCACTAATTTCGGCAAAGCCTCCAATTGGTGGGCTCCAATTTGTGGGCCATTCAACAATTGCATAACGTTCACAATGAATGTTGGCAGCATGGACTATGCATGCTTCAATGAGATTAGATGGTATTCTTCATGAAATTTGATGGAAACAATATGTTGTAAGATTTCAGCTCTAAAACAAATTTTTGTGTCGTAATTGATTCTTGTAATTGATATTTACTTAGTCTGGAAGATGTGATTGCAATAGTTTAGGATGTTAAACCATATATGTTGCACATATTAAAACAATAACCTTGTTGATAAGCCATTGATCCTGCCAAGTTATATGAACCAATATGTCGCCAAGATCTTCTTCTCAAAACCGATTCCTTATGCCTGAATTCTAGATGGGGTTTGAATACTTTTGAGCTTGTTTTATTGGCTGAGAAGGGACTTGGTATTTAAAGCAAAGCTCAAGTCTCCTTGCCCATCAAGGAAAACTAGAGGTCTTCTAATTCCATTGGAATTAGATGTTCTAATCGATCAAGAACAAGTAATTTGCAAAATTGATTAAAAAGCAAAACTAGCTAAATAAAAACAACTGAAAATAGCTAGAAAAACATTGTCTGCTTTGTGAACTCTAGATAGACTACTCAAATAACTCCCACTAATTGCACTAATCGAAACTTGAAAACAATCCCATGTTCCTAACATGCCTTTGAAAAACTCCATTTAGTAATCCTTTAGTCAATGGATCTGCTACCATAGAGTGAGTATCAATGTCGTCAATCTTTACAAGGCCTTCTTTAACATCTTCCCTTACTGACAGATACTTGAATTTTATGTGTCTGCTACCTAATGTCCTTTTATTGCTCTTGGCGAAGAAAACAGCAGAACTGTTGTCATTCCAAATCTGAATCGGCCTTCCGATTGATTCCACAACTTGTAAACTTATGATAAAGTTCTTGAGCCAAATAGCTTGACTTGTTGCCTCATAACAAGCAATATACTCTGCCTGCATTGTTGAAGTTACAGTGAGAGTTTGCTTCACATTTTTCCAAGATACAACACCACTTTCAAACAAGAATACAAAACCTGAAGTAGATTTCATTGAATCAACACAACCACCCAAGTCTGCATCCGCATAACCTACCAACTCTAAATCCTCACTCTGTCTGTAAACCAGTTTGTAATTTTTAGTTCTCTGCAGGTACCTTAGTACCTTCTTTGCCGCAACCCAATGTGCTTGTCCCAGATTAGACTGAAATCTTCCCAAAACACTCACTGCAAATGCTAAATCTTGTCTGGTACAGACTTGAGCATACATTAAACTTCCCATAGAGAGGCATAAGGTCTGTCAGCCATTTCCAACCTCTCTTGCTCAGTTTTTGGTGACTGTTCCGTGCTTAGTTTATCTCCTTTGGAAACTGGCACTTCTCCTCCAGCACAGTTTAGCATGTTAAACCTTTTTAATACCTTCTCAATGTATCCCTTCTGAGATAAGCCTAGAAAACCCCTTTCTCTGTCTCGACTGATTTCAATTCCTAACACATATGATGCTTCTCCAAGATTTGTCATGTCAAAAGCTTGTGACAGAAAAGCCTTTGTGTCATGTAGCAGTGTCAAATTTTTACTTATTAAGAGTATATCATCAACATAAAGAATAAGAAAAATAAAATTGCTCCTACTGATCTTGATGTATATACATTCATCCATTGGACTTCCAATGAAACCATGAGACTTAACCACTTCATCAAACTTCAAATACCACTGTCTGGATGCTTGTTTTAATCCATAAATGAATTTCTCTAATTTGTAGACCAATCCTTCTCCATATTCTTGAATGAAACCCTCAGGTTGTTTCATATATATTTCTTCAGAGAGATTTCCATTCAAGAATGCGGTTTTCACATTCATTTGATGAAGATGCATATTGAAATGAGCAACTAAGGCCATTATGACTCTAAACGAATCTTTGGTAAAAATTGGTGAAAAAGTTTCATTGTAATCAATTCCTTCTCGTTGTGTGAATCCTTTTGCCACAAGCCTAGCCTTACATCTATCAATGAAACCTCTTGAATCTCTTTTAGTTTTATAAACCCACTTGCATCCTATTGGTTTGCAGCCTTGAGGCAGTGAGACCAATTGCCATACTTTATTCTTTTCCATTGAACTTAGCTCCGATTTCATGGCTACCAACCATTTTTCATTTTCTAAACTTGTAATGGCCTGCTTGAATGTTATTGGGTCATCTAGGCTGTGTTCACAATGATCAGTTTCTTGCAAATCCCTTGTACTTTTAATTGCTCCTTTCTTTCTTGTATTTGTGAGCTTCCTCTTTACACAATTTATGCAAACCTCATCCAATTCAGTTAAGTCAAGTGTTGGCAACACATGTTCTTTGAAGAGGGATTTTATTCTTTCTTTGGAAATGTGGCAAAGTCTCGTATACCACAATTGAGATGACTGAGTTTTATTTTGAATTTTGCTGGTGCTTGCAATGTTCATAATTTGATCAGATGCTTGGACATTTAATTGAGACATTCCATTTACAAGGGTTCCATTCCCAGTTGAAGTTTTATTTCTTAAAATAGAGAATCTAAAATCATTGATCACTAGCTTAAACTTAGCTTTCGCAAGCCTAGAAACAGAAATTAAGTTCCTTGTCACAGCAGGAACATAAACCACATCTATCAAATCCAAAATAAAACTAGACTCTAATCTAATCTTGATGTCTCCAATGAACTCCACCTTTGAATTCCATTGCCGACATACACTTTTATTTCATCCTTACTTGGCACCCTCTTGGTTGTGAATCCTTGCAAGTTGCCCCACTGTCAAGCCACCAAGAGTCACTATATATATCAAATAGGTTCGATTCAAAGCAAACTGAAATTTCTTCCTGCACAGAAACTTGAATCAACTCATTCAGTGTCCATGATTCCTTTTGTGTCACATAGTTGCTCTTAACCTGTTTGAAGTCATTTGGTAGTGAATTAAGTGCTAAATATATCAGCATGCTGTCATCTATATAGGCACCAAGGTTTCTTAGTTTCATGCCAATACCCATCATGTCCAGAATATATGTTCTTACACAGCCATCTCCTTCATATCTCATATCTGTTAGTTTCTTGATCCGAAATCCCATCTCTGCCTTCTCAGATTCCTTAAATTTTAGGCTGATGGTCCCAAGAAAATCTTCAGCATTGTTCAAGGGTGGAATTCCATCTCTTATTGTAGGTGACATTTATTTTTGCATGATCAGAATAGACATCCTGTTTGCCCTTTCCCATTTGGCATAATGAGTCTTTTCCTCAGTGGTTGCATATCCCTCTGGTTTTTCAGGAGCTTGTTCTTTCATTGCCATATCCATGTCCAAAAGACCTAGAGCTATTTCAAGATCCCTTTTCCATCTCTTGTAGTTGGAACCAGTCAGTGTTTCGATGGTGTTTAAATTTGTGGTGTTCATAACTGAGATTTAAAAGAGCAGACAAGTATATAAACAAACTTTCCCCAATTTCTGTACATTATCAATTATCACCTGTAGGCAGAAAATTGAACATGTTTTAGTGATCACCAAAACACACGATACATGAATTTCTTTCATAGATAGTTTTCTTACATCTGTGGATAGAAAGAAAACTCTACTAACTCATGTACCTCATATCTTGCACCACGCCACAATAAACTTCTATAAACAAGATCACCAACATCTGTGGACAGAAGGTAATCTCAACTTCCCTGAGAACCAAAACACCAATTCTAATTAAGTTCTTAATTAATACAAAGACCTAGATCTCCTATGATGATTAGAAGACCACATTAAAGTGGTTTAAGACATAAATTGTCTAACATGGGAACCATGTATGGTAAATAGCTAATCCGTAGGATTTGTATTGTTGTATCATGCCTATATAAGGACATCTTTGTATCTTCTTTTATCACATCAATGAAATCTAATTCCCATATACAATTTCTCAGTCCCATCGTTTAGAACAAAAATAATTAATATTATGTAGAATAATTTCTCTGATTATGTTGATTGAATTAATTTTGAAATTTCCTTGGCTGATGGTGTTGGAAACATACAGGTGCACTACTTATGAGTCTGGGGGTTTTACTATTTCACTTTCAACACTGGATGAGATATTTGGGTTTAGCCAAGGGCCTCTGTCCATTATATCGTAGCTGTCATCTTGAGGGTTGACTTCCAAAGTGTTCTCTCATTGTTTGAAGGGAGATGAAAAAGGAGGGGGTACACTTGATCTTGGTGAGATTTTGGAGCCAAGTATTGTTTACAGTCCTCTTGTTCCACCACAGTACATCTCTTGGAAACCTTTCTCTTATTTCTTTCTGCTTGTAAGCTTTACTATCAAACTGTGAATTTTGGTGGGAAAGGAAATGGGAGAAGGAAATAAAGACTAGGGTTTAGACTAGGGAATGGGAGAAGGAAATAAAGACAAGGGTTTATAGCCACTGATTTCCGTTGGTTTGCATAACCAAGAAAGCCACATTTCTAACCTAGTCTATTTTTGTCTAATAGTTACTGGAAAACGAACTCATTAATTGTCTCAACTCTCAACTTACCAATAAAGAGTAAAATTTGCCTAAGTTAAAGGACAATAGTAACTTATATGATAATTGGTTAAAAAAATAGTGATTGTTGCTCAAAATTCTTCTAGTGTGTGTCGCTACAATTTATTATATGAAATCAATTTATTGATGCTGTCACTTTTGGCTTTTTAAACTTTTACTTGTTAGCTATCTTCTATTACTTATTTGTCTTTGAGTTTTTCATATAACGTCCTTCACCATTATTTTCAGGCACCATTATTATTTAAATCTGCAGAGCATTGCTGTCAATGGGAAAATCTTGCCAATTGATCCAGCAGCCTTCACATCACACGACAAAGGAACTACTATCGACTCAGGAACAACATTGGGATACCTTGTTGAAGAAGCTTACGTTCCTTTCGTTCGTGCGATAAGTTTATTCACTTGGTGTTATTTATGGGTTGATTTGTGGTGTTTGGTCTGAAAAATAAGATATCTTCTCCTTACTAAAAGCTTATTTTGTGTTGGGATGTGTAGATAACTTCAGCTGTTTCACCATCCCTGACTCCCTTCATTTCAGACGAAAAACAGTGTTATCATGTAACCACCAAGTTGGTTTTATCTCTAAATATTTTTTAAGTTTCCCTTTGAAGAAAAGCTATGAAGACCTAAATGACATTTTATGTTTCAGTTTGGCTGAGGTTTTTCCTGCTGTTAGTCTAAACTTTGCTGGTGCATCAATGGTGTTGAAACCAGAAGAGTACCTTACAGGTCAAGTAAGTTGTTCCTCCATCTCCCTCTGTACAAGTTCTTATTTAAATTCATTGCATTAGACATATAATTATTGTAAATTGTATGGCATAAGTGTAATGGATCACTGTATTGTTACAGGTAGGCATTGGTGTGTGGTGCATTGGTTTTCAAAAGGTTCAGGGAGGGGTGACAATCTTAGGAGGTTAGGCCCTAAATTTCGGTTGGTTATTGAATATTTGTGGAAAAATTTTTTGTTGATATTTGGTTGGATGAATCCTCTTCAATTTTTCTCAGTGTATATTTATTCAAAGCTTATGCAAAGTAATGTATTTTCTAGTCTACCTAGTGGTGCACAATGCAATGGCTTTCTGAGCACTGCAATTATTTTTTGTACTGATAAATATTGATTATCACAATTTGCTTTTGAAACCGTTTATGACAATCATAAATGTGTAGTCTCAATTATGACCTTTTTTTGTTTCTTCAATTGCAGATCTTGTTCTAAAAGATAAGATAATCGTGTACAATTTAGCTCTTCAACGAATTGGATGGGCGAACTATGATTGTAAGTTCAATTATGAGTCTATATGAACTCTTATATATTTTTTTTCAAGTTCTCCTTAGCATCTATGTCATATTTTGAAATTTTCTATTTTTCAGGCTCATCACTAGTAAATGTCTCCATACCTTCTAGCAATACTCGACAGTGGAGTAGAAGCAGATCTTCATCAGGAGACATGCTATGGAGCGTGCTAACAACAGGATTTGTGGTGATGTATATGTTGTTGGCATGACTTGTAGCCAAATATCAAGAATTCTTATTTGACTTGTTCTTTTATTGTAATGGTCCAAAGTGACCTGAATTGAACTCTCTTGTTAATTTATGACATGTGTGGTACTCTTTCCTCTCATAAGATTTGTCCCATGAGGTTGTCTTAGGAAGGTTTTAATGAGGCCACTGTATCATATCGCCCTTTGTACGTCTGTGGTTTTATGAATGAATTCTCCTTCTCAATATATTACTTTAAATTCTAATTTGCATAAGAATTTGGCCACCGTTGGGTTATAAATATGGCCTCCTATCTAATGAAATGTCTTATGTTTCAACATTTTCATTAACAATAATTTATGAGATTTTGAATGTTTGACGCTTAAAGGTTTTTTTGTGGGTGGATTAATGTAGGAAAAATAAACTAACAAATATAATAATGATAATAATAATAAAAGATTACCGAAAAAACAAAAAAAATTACAAAGAAAAGGACCAAAAAGAGAAGAAAAAGAAGGTCTGCCTTTATGAGCAGCCCGTGTTAAGCGCGGAGAGACACCAAACCCAACAAGTCTTAACCAAAAGCCGAGTAGCAAAACGTGCCACCAAATCAGGAGAGAGGCTTCATTCATCCATTGTTCACCCAATATTCTTAATCCCCAAAATGCCCTTCTAGTTCAAGACTCGGCTTCTCGGCTTCACTCTCTCAGAGAGCGTTTATGCGTTTATGCGTTTCAGCCTTTGTTTGTGGTGAGGTATATTCTCCGTTTCGATACAATACAGCGAAACAGGCACATCACCCGCCTATATGTTCCAGGATTCTAATCTATTGCTTTAATTTAAACAAGTGAAAATTCTCTCGCTGAAGAAAAATCAGGTGATTTATATATTGTTCTTTTCCTGAGCAATTCTTTTAATGCTTTATTTTGAGATTTCGATGCGATTCAATTCAGTTGTTGAGTATATCTCTAAGCTACTTATCTCTGTTTTTGCTGATTTTTGGAGTTTTTGGCAAATGGGTATTGATTGTTTTCTGGCTGGTTTATTGCCATTCTGGTGTCAGTTTCATATTTCATTTTCTTCTTTAGACTTCAGTTTTCATTTTGTTTTTCTGGTGGTGGATTTAATTTGCTTTAATTGGTGCTCTTCAAATTCAATTGCTTTTTCTATGATCTTTTCTTATCTGGATTTCGAAATTGTGAGTTTATCCGTCCGTCGGTTTCTTGGCGATGCCCATTTTTTTTTGTTAAAGTTTGCATTTTGAGGCCGTCGGGTGATATGGGGATTAGGTTGAACGTGTTTTTGATTTGTCATTCGACTGTAAGCCAACTGTTAAGGATAAGTAGATCCCAGAGATTCATAAGTATAAGCCAACCTCTTCTCTGCCTGTTTGCTGCATTGCTTAGATTTCTGACTCATTCTGAGATCAGTTTTGATTTTTTGCCTAGAACAAAGTAGGTCTCGGAGATGCATAACTATAACCCAACACCTGCTTATTTTCTGCATTGATTAGATTTAAGACTCGGTGTTTGATCAATTTTAGTTCTTTGCTTACTCTAGTGTTTCTGTGTTTCTGTTTCTATTGTGTCTGATTAACTTATACTGAATTGATAGGCTCATCATTTTATGTCTGGGTTTTTATATTATGTGCAAATGTTGTATAGATATATTATATTTCATACTGAAAGTAGAAGAGTAATGTGGTTGTTGTAAGCAAGCACTGCTCTTACCACTAATTTCCAGTATATGAAAATCATTTAAATAATTCACCTGTGCAATTTAGCCTTTTTGAGAATGCATTTAGCAGTACATTTGTCAGTCATTCAGAGGATGAGTTGTATAACATAAGATAACATGCCTCTTTTTTTCCAGCAATCCATGTAAGTTTTTGTTTATTTATTCCTGTTACTTTATATTTGTTTCAGTTGGCAAGCTTGAAGGAATTTTTATACTGTCAGAGTAATTGAGAATACCGTCTTTCGCTTCACTTGTCTATCAAATATTTCGGTGTCGCATGAGCAGTAATTTGGGTCTTCCGGTGGCTTCTTCAAGGGATTTGTGTTCAGTATAAGGATGCCAATGATGACTGTGGGTACCAGTTGTTCAATTTATTGTTGCATCCATGTGATATAGCTACTTAATTTTCTATATATTGGAATTGGAAAATCAACTCTAACATGGATTAGATGAAACCAATTTCAACAAGGGTGCCTGCTTGGTTGGTTGGCAACTTGGCATGAACTGACATCCTACTTTTCTGGTGGAAAAAAACTAATTGTTTGGTGGCATTCAGCCTTGTGATTTAGACCAATGGAAGTCTCACCTCAAGGGCAAAAGCAGAAGTTGCAGTCCCCTGCTCGCAAATTTTTGTCGACTGGAACGCAGAAAAATCTCTGGTTTGTTGTGCGAGAAGGATCATTGGTAGATGTGGATTCAGCACTATCAGTACTGAAGAAGAGTGGTGGTGATATTAATTCAAGAAATATTTTTGGTCTCACTCCTCTTCATATTGCAACATGGAGAAATCACGTTCCCATCGTTAGGAGGCTTCTTACAGCTGGTGCCGACCCAGATGCTAGGGTTTGTTGCTTTACTAATCTTTTAAATTTACATGAATGCTTTTATGTTTTTGCTAGTGGCTGTCAAGTTGTTTCTTTTATATGCTTTTATACTTAAATGATTAATGCTTTTCTTGCTTTGATTCACCTGCACCTTTAAATTTGAGATGATATTCTGTCTTCTCTTCCTGTCACCTAGTATATAATTTTTCTAAGGACAGTGTTATCCAACCCAACAGTTTTACCAACATTCTTTTGCAATCAATATGGCAAGCTGACATGTGATGATGTATTTATTTATTTTCCTGAATGTGGTGATGAGGTGTGGCCATATCATTCGCCATTTAGGTTGGGAAAAGAAATTTGATAAGTAGTATTTCTTTTGGTGTCGTATATGTTATAATCTTTCCTAAATCTTGTCTTACATAATTATTTAATATTCTAAAACAAGTTAAGGGAAAATTTCTGAACCAAATATTTACCAAGCATGTCTTCTTGAAGGAACATATAATTAAATGAAATTCGAACTTTATGAAGTTCGTAACTATGTATAACCAATCATACATTGAAATTCGAAAAATTAAGATAATCAATGATACTTGGAAAGTTGAAATATGTGGTATATAAATAATGCATTTATAGTTGAATAATTAACTTGCCCTTTTAGGTAAATACTTGGAAAGTTGAAATATGTGGTATATAAATAATACAAATTTATAAATAATGCATTTAAAGTTGAATAATTAACTTGCCCTTTTAGGTAAATACTTGGAAAGTTGAAATATTTGATCTATAAATAGATGCTGTATTCTATTCAGGTTTTTATTTTTCTTAAATGTGGAAACCGATTTTTATGATTTATCTTTGCATGGCCCTTCATATCATTTATTGCAGGATGGGGAATCCGGATGGAGTAGCCTTCACAGGGCTCTGCATTTTGGTCATCTTGCTGTGGCAAGTATACTTCTCCAGTTTGGTGCTTGTATCTCACTGGAGGACTCTAAATCTCGAACACCTTTCGATCTCCTATCGGGGCCTGTCTTGCAAGTTCTTCAAGATGGACATAATTCTGGTATCTAGTGCTGTGTTTTGCCAAGATTTATGAGGATCATATACTGTTTCATACTGCATGTACTTGTGTATACCTGTGGTTAGAGGTTTGCTGAATTGCTGTTGTTGTCTTTAGTTACTACAGAGGTTTATAGTTGGGGAAGTGGCACAAACTATCAACTTGGAACTGGAAATGCACACATACAAAAGTTACCATGCAAGGTGGATGCTCTTCATGGTTCTTTAATCAAGTTAGTTTCTGCTGCTAAGTTCCATAGTGTAGCAGTCACTTCTCGAGGAGAAGTCTACACTTGGGGGTTTGGAAGAGGAGGACGACTTGGTCACCCAGATTTTGATATACACAGGTATAAACATTTATGATACTACGTAGCCCCTGTCCAACATAGTAGAGGCTTTAACCTTGGTTGATTTAGCATTTCCCTGTACTATCTAAAAATAATTTACTGAAAAGTTTTTGACTTGGTAATTTTTTTAATAAATGATATTCTTTAACATATTATCAAATTTGAGTGTGTAGTATTTCAACCTTTTCATGTACAGAAGGACATGAATGCGCCAGTCGTTGTGGAAATAGAAATGATGCAAGTAGGAATGTAATTTCTAAGTCGGCAGAACTTTTTATCTTGAACTTGTGAAAACATTGAGATGCAAGAAACATAGAAGCCATATTAATCCCTGGTTTTATTCTCTGTATGACTAAAAGTTGAATTCTGTCGCCTTTTACATATAAAAGTGGCTAATCAATTGAAATTTTCTTGCTTTAGCTAGTTGTACCTTTTGCGAAGCATGAATCAGTTCCATTTTATTATATGCATTTCAGTGGTCAAGCTGCAGTTATCACACCTCGTTTGGTGACTTCTGGTCTAGGGTCCCGTCGGGTAAAGGAAATTGCTGCAGCTAAACATCACACTGTTATTGCTACAGAGGGTGGAGAAGTTTTTACTTGGGGATCCAACAGAGGTAAATCATATGAGGACTTCCAACCAAAAGTGTTTGCAATTTGCAAACCACTTACCTGTCATAACAAAAGAAGTGCAAATTTAGTTGTCTTTAATCACTGGGTCCTTGTACGATTCGATATATGAGAAAATTGATTGTTTTCCTTTAATGTATTCTGGCATTAGTAAAAGATTTATCTATGATCTATGTGTTGCTAGCATCTGAGGACTATGGAAAATTGATTATTTTCACATGATGTTGTGCAGAGGGTCAGCTTGGGTACACTTCTGTGGACACCCAACCTACACCTCGAAGAGTGAGTTCCCTTAGATCAAAAGTTGTTGCAGTTGCTGCAGCAAACAAGCACACGGCTGTTGTTTCTGATAATGGTGAAGTTTTCACATGGGGCTGCAATAGGGAGGGTCAGCTTGGCTATGGTACATCTAACTCTGCGTCAAACTACACTCCAAGAGGAGTTGAATACTTGAAAGGCAAGGTTTTTATGGGTGTTGCAGCAGCAAAATTTCACACAATTGTCTTGGGAGTTGACGGGGAGGTAATTTTAACCCGAATTAACAGTACATATTCTTCACTTAGGCTCAAATATTAGATTTTTTCTTCTGTTCAGTTCAAGATACATTTTCAACCTATTTTATTACCTGGGCTCTCTTGTTAATACTTCTCCACCTATTGGCTGTAGTTGAGCTAAATCCTGTATGTATATATGTACCAGGTATACACTTGGGGTCATCGAATTGTTACGGCCAAACGTGTTGTAGTTGCTAGAAACTTGAAAAAGAGCGGAAATACCACTTTGAAGTTTCATCGCAAAGAACGGCTTCATGTGGTTTCTATAGCTGCAGGGATGGTACACAGCATGGCTCTGACAGATGATGGTGCATTATTTTATTGGATTTCATCAGATCCTGATCTAAGATGCCAACAGGTTTTGCTTTAGCATAATAGTGTTTTTGTTGAATGTCTAATCCTTTCGAGCAACACATGTCAATCTCTAATCTTCTCTATGTTTTTTTGTTTGTCTAGTTGTATTCGCTGGGTGGAAGAAATGTGGTGAACATATCTGCAGGGAAATACTGGACTGCTGCCGTTACAGCTACAGGTGATGTTTACATGTGGGATGGGAAGAAAGGTAAGGATAAGCCACCAGTTGCAGCTCGGTTACATGGTACAAAACGGGCTACTTCAGTTTCTGTAGGTGAAACACACATATTGATTATTGGTTCCCTTTATCATCCTGTCTATCCTTCCAATGTGGTGAAGATCCCTCAGAAGCAGAAGTCAAATGTCAAAGATGAGCTAGAAGAGCTTGACGAAGATCTTATGTTCAATGATATGGAGTCCGATACTTGTTTACCTACTATCCAAAACGATGATACAGATAAGGGGCCCATACCAACCTTAAAAAGTCTCTGTGAAAAAGTGGCAGGAGAGAATCTAGTGGAGCCACGAAATGCTATTCAACTGCTTGAAATTGCTGATTCACTCGTGGCAGATGATTTACAGAAGTATTGTGAGGTATTCTTCCTCATGGACTGCTCTATATTTGAAGGAAAATTATGAAACTCTTAACCTGTTTCAAATTGTATCTGATTTGAATCTATGTCCGGCTTTCTTTGGTTGTGTTGTGATCATCTGCCTACGTTCTGTAATTATTATACAACAGGAATTTTGGACCTCATGTCATAATAATCTGTGATTTGAATATATATATATATATATAAAATTCCTGTTGTTGGGTCACCTGGATATCACCGCTCTTGGGCCTAATATATAAGGTTGTATGTGCCATTTCTGGGTGGCCCTTGAGTGTTTTTTTTTTTCCAAGTAAGTTTTTGTGGTTTAGTTATCAATGTCTCCAATACAGTCTGCTTTATCTTCTTTTGGAAGATAAAAGTATAGTGGAGGGCAGGTTATTGTCTTGAACACTTTAGGAACTACAAGACGATGTAGTATTGTCTCATCATGCTTCTGTTTATGGGACTTGTGATCCAAGTTTTTGCAGATTTGTAGTTTACATGCTACTTAATTATTTAATTATTGAAGCTGTGTTTGTTATTGCAGGACATTGCCATACGCAACCTTGACTATATATTTACGGTATCATCACAAGCTATAGCTAGTGCTTCACCAGATGTTCTAGCTAAACTTGAAAATATATTGGACCTAAGGTCATCTGAACCATGGAGTTACCGTCGTCTCCCAACTCCTACAGCTACTTTTCCTGCTACTATTTATAGTGAAGAGGACGATAGTGAGAATGAGGTTCAAAGGACACGTGACGGCCATACAAAGCAATCCACATCGAAAAATGAAATACACCAAAGACCAGATTCCTTTCTACAGCCCAAGGATGATCCAAATCATGGTATCGGCAAGCAAGTTCGAGCCTTGCGGAAAAAGTTGCAGCAGATTGAGATGCTTGAAGCAAAACGGTCTAGTGGGCAACTTCTTGATGACCAGCAAATTACAAAGCTTCAGACGAGGCCAGCTCTTGAAAGGGAGCTTGCTGAGCTTGGTGTTCCAGTTGAGACACCACAATTGAAGGCATCATCTTCAGTTCAGCCTGATGGAAAAGGGAACAAAAGGGTTGAGCTATCAAAAAAACAGAGGAGAAAGAACAAACAGATGGCGACACCAGTGGATATAGGGTCTTCTTTTCCGGGAGATGAAGTAGAACCAAAACACACAAAGGATTTCTTGAGTATTGAAATCTCTCAAACCACAAAACATAAGGTGAGCTTGTTACATTCCAAAATTCGTTTTATCAGGTTTGAATTGATTTCAGTAAAAGATGGTTATTCACTATATCCTCTTTTTCCAGCTAATTGAGATGTTTGAATCTTTGAATGGGGTTTGAAATCTTTTCAATTTTTTGACGTGCATGATTAATGATGGTTAACAACTTCATACTTGCTGTTTTGCATTATCGTTGGGGTTCTTATCATGAATGGTCCCTGAAATTGTTAAGAGGTGTGAGCTTTATTTTGTGTATTGGGTGGATGAGCTATATTTTAATGAAAAATAGCCCTTTAAAGTTTGTCAGATGATGACACAAGACCAGTTTTAGCGAAAATTTTGATGGAATGCGACGACAAGGATCAAATTAATGTGTGGACCTAAAGTATATTTTTTTATTTTTTATTTTTATTTTTTTGGGGTCAGAATGTGGACCAAACGACTGGATCCACATTGATTGATTCAAAAGTTTGAGGACTAAAGTGAGGGCTTTTATATGTTCAGGGATCATTTGCGATAAAAATCTTTATCCAAAATACAGGATGATGATTTTGGTCTCACCCTTATTACTTTCCATAGCTTGTTATGCCACCTAGATGGCAAAATGTATTTTGATTGAACATCAAGGCTTGCACCCATTTTTTAATAGTTTTAACTGCACTTTCATTTACTTGATCTTGGTGTCCGATTTACTCTGAACTTGCATTTTGTAATGACTATTGGATTATTGCCTTCTTCCTAAACAAGGCTTGATTTTTGGTATCCCTTTCCCTGGTTAAAATATTATCTACAACTTAGTGGGAACGCATATTTTAACGATATGTGCAATAATTCATCCCATTTGCTAAATTCTTTGAATTGTACCTTTGATAGGAGGAAGATGCTGTGAGTGAAGGGATTATGACAAACCAAACTATTAAGGAGTCAGCTTTGTGTGTTCAGAAGGACAATTTAAACCTAGCAAAGAATAAGTGTTCATCATCAATAACTTCCAAGAAGAAGAATAAAAGGGGTGGGCTTTCTATGTTCTTGAGTGGCGCTCTTGATGATGCCCCCAAATACATTGCACCACCCCCACCATCCCCAAAAAGTGAAGGCCCTGCATGGGGTGGGGCTAAAATCCCGAAAGGATTTGCATCTCTTCGTGCGATTCAGGATGAGCAAAGCAAAACCAAGGACAGCGAGTCAACTAGGAACAGAGGTCATGCAGAAGATCCTTTCAATGCTAGAAGTGATGGGAAGATTCTACTGAGTTCGTTTTTGCCTTCCAAGCCAATACCAGTGGTCTCGATACCAGTGGTTGCAACCCATACTTCAGTGGCATCTGATGGAGAAAGAGGTACACCTCCTTGGACTGCTTCGGGAACTCCTCCCCTTCTTTCTCGCCCTTCTCTTAGGGACATCCAAATGCAGCAGGTATGTGAATTGCACCCTCTCTCTCTCTTATGTGTTTGGACCATTAATATTCTTTGTTATGTGTACTGAATTCCATGCATTCTTTTTGAGTTGTTTTCTTGCTGCCACATGCCAGAGTCATGGAGATTTGAGGCGTTTAATTTACCGTTCTCATGCCTGTTTTTATTTATGTCTCAAATCAGGGAAAACAACATCATAGTCTTTCCCACAGTCCAAAGACTAAAACGGCTGGATTCTCAGTCACTAATGGTCAGGGTTCACCAATGGATGCTTCTGGAGTGAACCGCTGGTTCAAACCAGAGGTGGATGCACCCTCATCGATTCGATCAATTCAGATTGAGGAAAAGGCTATGAAGGACCTTAGGCGCTTCTACAGCAGCGTTAGGATTGTAAAGAACCCATCTTAAATTAGGTAGAAATAGAGGCACCTCCTGTTCGTTTATTTCTGTTTACATTTTGGGTTAAATACACTGCTGTACATTGAACTGTATAGAATTAGCTCAGCGTATACTTTTTATATCCTTCAAATCCATGAAGTAGCAGAAGTTATATCTCATACTCCTTTTTGGGACTTTGTTTCCTTTAATTTTTTTTAGATATTTGGTGACTAGTTTCTAGATTATAGGGCATGGCCATTTGAAATGTGATATTTTAAATTTAGGGATTGTAAGTTATGTTGTATAATGTCAATAAATCAATGAAAGTTTCTGTTTTCCAACTGGAAAAAATTTGAATAAATGATTCATTCATTGTACCCATTTTAAATAAATTGTTTTCTGTATTTTCGCGGTTCTCCCGACTTATGTAAGTTTATTGCTGAAATTTGAATTCTTTCCTTAAAATTTTCAATGAACTCACATTAAAAGAATGGTATGCAAAGACGGATTTTCCCACACTAATGTGCGCAGGAAACTATCCCTTTATTTTTTCCACTAACATTTCCGTCAATATGTAAGACATTGGTTGCCAGCAACAGGAGATGAATTAACCTGCTTTCCCTCTCGCGTTGCGCGTTGCTGGTGTTAAGCCACATATGCCGTTGAGTTATTTTATTTTTATTTTTATTACAAGTGATGGTCTAAACTAAAGAAGATGAGAGTTTCTTATACACGCACTCAACTAAGATATTATGGGAGTTTAAACCTAAAGACATCTAACGTATAAGTCAAAACTCTTTTCCACTGGGGAAGTCCCCGGTAGCATGCAGTTGAGTTCTTTTGTTTTTTAAATGGAGTATAATTGAAATTTAAATGAACGAAAATGAATTGGGCTGTAGTCAGCGAGAAAATTAGAGGGTTTGAGTAGAATTTCACAAAACAAAGGTATCCATTATGGTATCAAGCAAAGGATTAAAAGCTAACGATAATATAAATAACATACTCTACCAAAAAAAAAAAAAAAGTTATGATAATTATATAGCTCTTGGGAGATCATCAATCTAATGGTGTATAGTATACCTCCTTGGAGATAAAGTTAAGCACCTTAAATCCTTCTCTTACCTCCCACTACTCGATCTCTTCGTTCTGTTTCCTACCATTTCTATTGGTCCTTTTTCATTTTTCCAGCACCAAAAAAGTTCTAATAAAAATATAAAAATGCTAAAGAAAGTGATTAAGCAAGTCCAACTCGTGTAGTATATATTATAGGCTTGATTACTGTTTTACCCCTCGAATTTAGTCTCTTTTTTAAGTCGATAGAGAAATAAAAACTTAGTTTTCTTCGGATCAAAGCTTCTTCCTAAAATTCTCTACTCCAATTTGAAACCATGGTGGTCGTGTATAAGATTAGGGTTTAGCCTCATCTTGTGCTCGACCAATGATCATACTCTGGTTTGTAGGATTCGACACAAAGATATCGCTCTAGTTTTCAACCATCGACACACGACTTAGCATGCTTTGTGGTTCTGAGTTGTGGGGTATCAGTTGTTCTTCATAATCGTTGTGGGGTATGAGTTGGTCGTTTAGTCAATAGAAACTCCAATTTAGACCCGTGACTAAGGAATAGTGGGTGCATATTGTGTTTTGTCCCAAACCATAGTGTTGTACTGTATTGTGGGAAAGGATTGGATGACTAGCTTCTTGCTAGGTAGAGTGTAGCTGGGTGTCATCTTTGTCAAATTTGCAGCTATGATAAAAAGCAACATGCTTGGGTGAGAAAAACCCGCGGTCGGTGACACAAAAGCAACTCGTCTTTGAAAAAAGCATGCCATCACTTGGCAGCACCCCACTCTCCTGAAGCCATAAAGCATATTATTATTGCTTCAAATAAGACTTTAAATTTAAAATATTGATTTGAGATGGAATGGGCAAAGGGAAAAGGAAAACTGAGAGACAGAATCTTCAGCCTATAAAAGAAAAGTATTATTATCTTACCAAGAAAAAGAGACATGGATGTTTGTCTTTGGCCTCAAGAGTCTAAAGCTTCTTGAAAATCAAGAAACAATAAAGCCCCTTGGCCCTTGGGGATGAAGTTTTAA